GGAAACCAAGCAGAATGGCCTTCACTTAAGTGAAGGGGTTTTCGGAGCACTTCACCCCTCCGGCTCCTGGTCACAACAGTCCTGTGAAGAGGGTGTTGATGGTGCAGTCCACTCTCAGAGAACCAGGCTAGGGAACATTGCTGCGGTAATTATTTAGGAAAGTCTCTGCAGTATGGTGGGGAGCTATTGAGAATGTTGTCTGCCCAGTGCTCCCCACTTCCTAGCTCACAATCATACTACCATTCCTCCCATCTTCAGGTCCATTGCTCTGGACCCCACCTACAGATCCAAGACTGAGTAAGAAGGCTCCTGTCTCCTTTCTCTCTCTCTCTCTCTCTCTCTCTCTCTCTCTCTGTGTATACTTTTCTATTGTAATGACAGAACACCTTGACCAAGGCAACTGTCTTGGTTAGAGTTTCTATTGCTGTGAAGAGACACCATGACCACAACAACTTTTTTTTTCAATTTTTAAAATTTATTTTATGTGTATGAGTGCTCTATCTGCATGTACAGACGAGGTCTATCTTTATGCCAGAAGAAGTCATCAGATTCCCACCATAGATGGCTGTGAGCCACCACGTGATTGCTGGGACTTGAACTTAGGACCTCTGGAAGAGCAGCCAGTGCTCTTAACCACTGAGCCATCTCTCCAGCCCCCCCCCCAACTCTTATAAGGGAAAACATTTAATTTGGGTGGCTTACAGTTCAGAGGTTCAGTTCATTATCATCGTGGTGGGAAATGGCAATGTGTAGGCAGACATGGTGCAGGAAAAGGAGCTGAGAGTTCCACATCTTGATCTGAGGGCAACAGGAAGTGAACTGAGTCTACACTGAGGGAAGCTTGAGCATATATGAGACCTCAAAGCCCACTCCTGCAATGACATACTTCCTCTAACAAGGCCACACCTACTCCAACAAAGCCACACCTCCTAAGAGTGCCGCTCCCTATGAACTTATAGGGAGTCAATTACATTCAAACTTCAACAGCAACTCATAAAAGAAAGCATTTAATTAGGGGCTTGTTTGTGGTCTATAACCATCCTGGTTGGGAGCATGGCAGCAGGAGGCAGGCAGGTGTGGCTCTGGAGCAGTAACTGAGAGCTTGTATGTTGAGACAACAACCACAAAGCAGAGAGAGATAACTTTGATGTTTCATAATGTTTGATGATGCAATACTGAAGCCTCCCCGCCCCGCCAAGCCCCTCCAACAAGGGCCACACCTTCTAATCCTTCCCAAACAGTTCCACCAACTGGGATCAAGCATTCAACTATGAGAGTCTATGGGGGCCGTGTTCATTCAAAACACTATAGTATACGTGTCTGTGTGTAAGGATGCCCCATATGGGTACCCAAGGAGGTCAAAAGGGAGTGTCACAACTCCTGGAGCTAGAGTGACAAGTGGCTGTGGGACCTGTGACTTACGTTGAGAACTGAACTCTGTCCTCAAGAGTAGTAGATGCTCCTAACTGTGGAGCCATCTCTCCAGCTCCTCTTTTCTCTTCTCTTCTCTCTAGTTCTTTCTGTTTGCTTGTTTTTCTAGGCAACTGCTCTACCCCTGAACTAAATCCCAATTCCATCTTCCTTTTGCTTTTTTGCGTTTCCTGAGTGTTGAGTTCAAGGTCTTGGGCACTGTGTGTGTCACTGTCACTCAGCTAAATACCAGCCTTGATCACAGTCTTCTCATCTTGGTTTGGTGACCTCCCTTAACCTCTTCGTCCAGGGCCCTGTTTCCTGGGGCCCAGTTCTTGCCTTGGAGGTTTTATCAGTAAACAGGCATACTCAAGGCCTTTGTTAGAAGCTCATGAAGCCGGGCGGCAATGGGGCACGCCTTTAATCCCAGCACTGGAGAGACAGAGCCAGGCGGATCTCTCTGAGTTCCAGGCCAGCCTGGTCTACAGAGTGAGATTCAGAACAGGCACCAAAACTACGCAGAGAAACCCTGTCTCGAAAAACCAAAGAAGAAGAAGAAGAGGAGGAGGAGGAGGAAGAGGAAGAGGAAGAGAAGAAGAAGAAGAAGAAGAAGAAGAAGAAGAAGAAGAAGAAGAAGAAGAAGAAGAAGAAGAAGAAGAAGAGGGCTCATGAAAGGACTGTCCACAGAGGCGTGTGCAGGAACAGGGAAGTACCCAGGGCTCTGCAGTCCTGCAACAGACACCCTGAGCCAGAGGAGTAAGGGGAGGCGGTCTCACAGGAAACCCGCTGACAGCTGAATTCACGAGCATGACACACACATGAGCCCTTGGTAGAGGAGCGTAGCTCCTGCCAAGAAACACCTCACTGAGAGAGAGAGAGAGAGAGAGAGAGAGAGAGAGAGAGAGAGAGAGAGAGAGAAAGAGACGCTTGATAAGTAGCCTGATCTCAGGCTCTGGCTATAGCTCAGTGGTGGAGCACCACCTGGCATGTGCCAGGCCCTGGGTTCAGTCCTCAGAATAGCTGAGGGAGTATGGGGACTATCCTGGTCACATTTCCCCCCTTCTCATTCTGCCGTGTCTACTCAGCTGAAAGCAGAAGGCCAGGGAACTGTGATACTGGGGCAGGAACCAGCCCCTGGGCAAGCCGGGCAGTGCAGAAACAGGGTGGCGGTTAGGTTAGGCAGAGAATGACCAGGCCCTGGGTTCGGCTTTGTGGATTTTTTTAAATTAATTAATTAGTTAATTAATTAATTTTATTTTGTGTGCATTCGTGTTTTGTCTCCATGTATGTCTGTGTGAGGGTGTCAGACCTTGGAGTTCCAGACAGTTGTGAGTGTTGGTTAAACAGCGCACTGTTTGTGGCCGACAGAGGAGAGGCCATGGTTACCTTTATAGAGATTTATTGGGGGGAGGGGGGAGAGAGGGAGAGAGAGAGAGGAAAGGGAAGGGGGGAGAGAAAGGGAGAGAAGAAGACAGATGGAAGGAAGGAGTGGAAAGGAAAGAGAGACGCACAGAGGGCCCACCCGCTTTTTAGGCTCCGGGACGCCGTCGAAGGCTGATGATGTAATTAAGGACCAAATCCTTACAGTGAGCTGCTGGGAATTGAGCCTGGGTCCTCTGGATGAGCAGCCAGGGCTCTTAACCACTGAGCCATCTCTCCAGCCCCTAATACACTTGTTTTTCAAAGCACCCTCTGTATCTGCGTCAGGAAATCCTTCTCTTATCCTTCCAAGGCCCAGATTCCTTGTCTATGAGGCGGTCCCAGGAGGAACCTGTCCCGCCCCTGGGCCCCTGGGTGTCAGGGCCTATTGCTCCATTGCTTAGCTTAGTGGTTGGCATTATCTCCATGCAAACTTGTGTTCCCGGGCTCTGCCATCTTCTACACAATAAGCTTCTTGCAGACCTGGGCCAATGAAGCCATTTGCTTCGATACAGACTCAGCACAGACAAAATGTCAATGTGTGCCAAGGGACTGAGTCCTGTGACCTTGGTCACCGAATGCCACCTGGATGGATGCAATCTGAATGTGTGTGTGTGTGTCTGTCTGTCTGTCTGTCTGTTTCCCAGGATCCACTGGAGCTCTTTTTTGTTGTTGTTGTTTTCTGAGACAGGGTTTCTCTGTGTAGTTTTGGTGCCTGTCCTGGATCTCGCTCTGTAGACCAGGCCTGCCTCTGCCTCCGGAGTGCTGGGATCAAAGGCATGCGTCACCACCGCCCGGGGCCCACTGGAGCTCTTTAATGGTGGGTAGTATGAGCCTGGCATGCAGCCAATATAATATGTTGCCTGAGTTGGTCTAGATACCATCATCCAGCCTTCTTTTCAGTACTTCATTCAACAAACATTTTGTTATTTTTTTTTTTTCGAGACAGGGTTTCTCTGTGTAGCTTTGCGCCTTTCCTGGAACTCACTCTGTAGACCAGGCTGGCCTCGAACTCACAGAGATCCACCTGCCTCTGCCTCCCAAGTGCTGGGATTAAAGGCATGCGCCACCACCGCCCGGCACATTTTGTTATTTTTATTATCATGTGTGTGTGTGTGTGTGTGTGTGTGTGTGTGTGTGTGTGTGTGTGTATTACATGATATGTGTGCACGTGTGGTCAGAGGATAATTGTGTGGAGTTGGTTCTCTTCTTCCACCTTTAGATGGAAGAGTTCTGGGATTAAATTCACTTGCCAGCCTTAATCAGGAAAGTGTTCTTGCCCACCGGAGACCATCCAACAAATTTTTCTATGACATGCAAGGACAGCACTGAATAAGTCATATGGTCCCTGTCCTCATGGGGCTTCTGCTCTAGCAGAGGAAGCAGAAAAGAAAAGAATTATAAATGAACACTATTAGCTGGGCAGTGGTAGCACACGCCTTTAATTCCAGCACTCATGAGGGAGAAGCAGGTGCATCTCTGGGAGTTCAAGGCCAGCCTGGTCTACAGAACTAGCTCCAAGACAGCTAGGGCTGTGAAGTGAAACCCTGTCTTGAAACACCCCCCCCCAAACAAACAGACAAACAAAAACCACTCTCAGGTTTTTTTAATTTACTTTATTTAATTATGTGTCTGTTTGTCTATGTGTGAGTAAGTTCACATGCTTGAGGAAGCCAGAAGCGGAGGATCCCCCTGAAGCTGTGGTTATAGGCAGCTAGCTGTGAGCTGTCTGGCTGAGTGCTGGGAACTCAGCTCCTGCAAGCCCCAAATAAACCCGAGTGTTTCCTACTGTGCTGGGTGCTGTAGAAGGATACGCCGCCGCCGGGTGATGGATAAAGTGGGTGTGTGGATACTGGGGGGGGGGTGCTTCTCTGAGGAGATGACGTGAGGGCTGAGCTCTGAAGGAGTGTGGAAGCTGGAGAAGGCGTTGTAGACAGAGACAGCAGCAAGGACAAAGGTCCAAGCGTGAAGGAGTTTCTGGGACTTGGTAGGGATTCAGTTTTTCACCCTAAGGAGCTTAGTGGGAGCTGCCAGGAGTTAAAGATGCAGCCTTCGGGACATGCCAGCTCCTGGGCAAGGGGGCTGGCGGGTCAGAGGCAGCCCCCCACCCCCCACTCCCCACCCCCGTGAGTGCCGCCCTAGCTGGCGGTTGCCTAGCACCTTCAGTAAACAGCAGGCTGGCAGGCAGGCCTTGCCCATGCTCCCTTCCTTCTCTCTCACTGGCAACAGCTGTCCAGCAAGCAGCTGGAGGCCCTGCCAACACCCTCCCCTGGAATATTTCAGGGGTAAGTCAGAAAATGACCAGCAGCCTCCAAAACGCGTTTTCTCCCATATACCTTACATGGGTATATTGAGCAGCTCTGAGTGCTACGCGCGTGTCCTCTTGGCGCTCTCCAAAACACATGAAATACACAGCCACAGGGGGCACCCTCAGTGCACAGCTGCAGCCACACACCCACCCCTACCCCTCAGCTGCCGCACTGGCACATGTCAGCCCAGTCAGGCTCACACTCACACTCACACACGGTTTCACAGCTGCTTCACAGTCGCTGCAGCCAGTGCCCATTTTCCCTAAGACCACTCACGACTGGCCCAATCGTACACACTCACCCTTGCTGTCAAGTCATACAGCTGCACTTCCGCAAGCCCACACAGGACAGGAATGGAGGAGCCCTGTGGGATATACAACCCTAGATCTGTCTTCTGCTCCACACACAGAACCTTTACCAGATGTTCCCAGCTGTGGGCACATGGAACACAAGCCACAAGCCAACCAGTCAACACATTGGCATCGTTTCTCCTTCTCCATCCCCATCCGCCGCTGCTGCTGCTCAAGGATCTGATTAAACCGGTGTCCAGCCTCCTCCTGGCCCGGGCCTGCGGGAGTGCACAGCATTCTTCTGAAATTGAATCAAAGCCCTCCTCCCTGACACGGGGACCAAGTGGAAAAAAGTAATCAGAGGAAGAATGCCTGGGCCCCAGGTCTGGGAAGGGGCCCAGCAGCTCTTACTGGGGGGAAGGGGAGAGTGCCTTCAGCATGGAAGTCTGCCCGGGACACTGGTGGGCCGAGGACTCAGGCGTGGGTATATGCCTTGACCCACGCTGGCAGAGTCGGAGCCACAAGTGGAGCTGCTCTCCGAAGACCCCAGGAAACCTCCCAGGTTGGGTGGGGGAAGAGACCTGAGTTAAACACAGAACTCAACTTTACGGCCTTAGGCCTTTTTGCAGTTCTTTCTCAGCCCTTCTCTGGCCCCCAGCTGTCCCCAGACGCATGGGGTGTGGCGGGTAACCCCCCTTCTCCAGCAGGCGCCCTGCCCCACCCCTTCACGACAGCTGCGGGACACCGGGAGGGTGGCCGCTCTCCAAGCCCTCGCGCGGGTGGGGATCGCAGGGCGCCGACACGAGGGGTGCCGGGTCCCTCTGGGCACCCCACCACTAAACCTTCCTCCCGCCTCGATCGGGAACTGCTCCCCTGAGACTGCACAGCCCCCCTCCTCTCCTCGCCGAGCAACCCAGGCCAGAAGGAAAGGTGGAGAGAGAAGCAGGTCCGGGAAGCGCCGCTGGGCCTCCCCTCATCCCCCCCCACCCCAACCCCCCATCCCCTCCCACCCTCTCCCCGCCCCCAGGCCCGCAGGGCCGGCGCCCTCCTCCCGCGGGAGATGGTCCGGGCCAAGTGGGCGCGTCCGGCCCGGGTCGCCGGGATCTGGTGTCGGCTGCAGCTGGCAGTGCGGCGGACGCGGGCAGCGGCACAGCCGCCTGCGGAGCCGGCTATTAATAACGCTCCGGGCGAGCGAGCCCGGGGTCGGGCAGTCATGGCCAGTCCGGAACCCCTGCGCGGCGGGGACGGCGCCCGGGCTGCCAGGTAGGCTCCTCCAGGGCCCGTGTCGCCACCCAGTAGCAGAGGGGGCGCTAGGTGGGCTCCCATCCCCCCCCCGCCCCATGGCCTCTTCCTCCTCGCTGTGGGTAGTGGTCCAGCCCGGGTGTGGCACGGGGCGGAGCCACCCGGGGAAGGGAGATGAGAGGCCCTGGCTTGGGGACCTGACACCTCCGGTGGTCTGTGGTATTTTGTGACACTACGGGGGGCCGGGTGAGAATTAATCCTTTCTGGCTATCAACCTGTCAAATTTTTAGTTGGCTCACCAGGCCCAAGAGAGCATGAGTTTTATTTTTATTTTCCTTTATTTCTCATTCACTTGTTCTTGGGGCCCCGGGAGAAACCATTTGAGAATTCACTGTATTTGAGCACCGCTTGGTGCAGCGTTGGGCACCCGCCAGCTTGAAGTTAGAGTCTGTTCGGTCAGCTTGTTCTTCTCCGTGCGGCTCAGGTGGAGGCCTACAGAGGGACGATTCTCCTAGCCCTTCACTGGGTCATGGCTGGACTCAGCAGCTGCCCACAGCGTGGGCCTTACCACTGGTGATTGTGGAGTCGGTCTGCCCCAAGTCACAGTGTGGCCCAGGGACTTCCCAGTTATCAAATTGTGGGAATACTCCCTGGTACCCTCTGTTGTCACGTGAGAAGATAAAGCTGAGCTAGGTCTTAGGACATACATTTGCTTGAGTTGCTTACACACATACTAATATAAGCTGGAAGTCAGACACAAGCTCAGGTGTTTGCGTGAGGTCACATACACATGCAGTCACAGTCGGATGGACAGCGTTAAGGAGTTGTCCAAGTCCTCTGGGGACAGGGACGGAGCGGCAGTGGCGCTGAGGTCGGGGGCCCCAGCTGAGCACTCCCTCTCTCTGCCGGCCTCCTGTAATCTGCTTCTTTGCCAGCTCAGTAGAAAAGCAGCTAGCTGAGGACAACATCTGGTACCCAGGGCGGCAAGGCAGCCCAGCCCAGAAGTCAGGAGGCCTGGGTTCTACACCTCAGACCTGCCACTTGACCTTGGGCAAATTTCCCCTTGGAGTTCAGTTGGTTTCTGCTTGCCTCCCAAGGGCCGCACACTAGGGTACAGACAACTAGCCTGGTCCTCGGGATGTCCACTCTCATCCAATGGACATGTGCCCTGTCATAAGCCACTGCCACTGCTCCCGAAGATGAGCTACATTCAGAATGTCCTGAGGACACAGTGGGCCTTGCTTGAGGTACGGCACAGAGTACATGGAGTTGGAGAATGGCTAGACGTTTGTTAACTAAACCAATTTTCTTTTCTGGGCTGGGAAATGAACCTACTACTTCCTACACGCTAGGCAAATGCTCCCCTTCTCAGACTTATCCCCCACCCAACATGCCCCACCCCTGATCCTAGAAAGACTTTCTGAGCCAGGGGTGGTGGTACATGCCTTTAATTCCAGCACTCTGGAGGCAGAGGCAGGTGGATCTCTCTGAGTTTGACACCAGCCTGGTCTACAAAGCAAGTTCTAGGACAGCCAGGGCAACACAGAGAAACCCTGCCCCGAAAGAAACTAAAGCCAAAAAAAAAAAAGATTCTGACTGTGATGCTCTAAACCCTCTTAGGCCTATGCTTAGCCTTAGGCCGAGGGCCAGGCACTGGGGTCTTCTCTGGAACCTCAGGTGCGTTTCCCACTCTTTGCACTGGCTTGCTAGTCTCTGCACTGGCCATAACAGATGAACAGCCTACATGCAAATGTTTAGAATAGTGCCTTGAACATGGTTAAGTCATTCCAAGGTGGAATATGATGCAAAGGCCATCAGCTGGGAAATTGGGGACTCTGGCAGAGCAGGATAGGTGGGCCTGCCTGCCCGAGCAGGTGCTCCTTCCTAGTGCCAGGAATTATACCTTCTCCGGTAGCTCTGGCTAGTGTTTTTAGGCAGATTGGTATTCAGGAAGTTGCATTTTTTTCAGCTAGATCCTTTAGATATTGTGGGCTCAGAGTAGGAGGTGTGAAAAGTTCCCACATGTTCTGGGTTGCGGGGGTGGTATGAGCTGAGGCTAAAAACGGTGAGTTAGGGCCACCTCTTTAAGACTCTGAAAGCTGGGCATGGTGGCATATGCCTGAAGTCTCAGCACTTGGGAGGCTGAGGCAGGAGGATTGGTAAGACTTCCAGGCCTGGGACTGGAGAGATGGCTCAGCTGTTAAAGGCATTTGTTAAGGGAACCTGGATTGGGTTCCCAGCACCCACATGGTGGCTCACAGCCATCCATAACTCCAGTTCCAGGGGATCTGATGTCCTTTTTTGTTTGTTTGTTAGTTTTTATTTGTTTTGTTTGTTTGAGACAGGGTGTCTCTGTGTAGCCCTGGCTGTCCTGGAACTCACTCTGTAGACCAGGCTGGCCTCGAGATCCACCTGGCTCTGCTCCCCAGTGCTGGGATTAAGGTATGCACCACCACTGCCTGACTCTGATGCCTTTTTTTAACCTTTGAGGGCACCAGGCTATCTGTGGTGCATATACATGCATTCAGGCCAAGCATCCATACATATAAAATAAGTAAATAGTTTAAAAAAAAAAAAAGGAAGCTCTAAGCCAGCTTGGACTACATAGTGAGTATCAGGCCACCCCCAGGGCTTTATAGCAAGACCCTGTCACAAAGGCTTTGCAACTGTGGCATGGAGCAACCATGATGTAGCCAGCTTAATTATGGCTAGACTGAGCTGTAGAGAAGCAAGGAGGCCCATTAGAAGGCGGGTACAGCCAAGTGGTGGTGGTGCACGCCTTTAATCCCAGCACTCGGGAGGCAGAGGCAGGCGGATCTCTGAGTTCGAGGCCAGCCTGGTTTACAGGATGAGTTCCAGGACAGCCAGGACTATTATACAGAGAAACGCTGTCATGAAAAACAAACGAACAAAAAGTAGGCTGGTACTAAACAGAGTAAACGGATCATGGCTTGGACGAGAGCCCTGACAGTGGACTGAAAAAGGTTGGACGGGATTGGAAACTTCCTATGGTAAAGACCGTTTTCAGGGAGGTAGTTGCGTGGAGCAGGAATCAGCAGTGCAGATTTCTAGAACTATAATTTGAGTGCAGCTAAGATGTGGGCAAGTCTGATAGCCCGAGTTCCACCCCAGAACCCCACACGGAAGGAGAGAACTGCCTTTCACAACCTGTTCTCTGACCTCTATATTTACACTGTGGCACACACACTCCCTCCCAACACACACACACACACACACACACACACACACACACACACACACACACACACCCTAAATCAGTAAAATGTAAAAAGAATGTAAATTGGAAGCAGACCTCAGCGATCACCTCCTCCATGCACTTTGTTGTTGTTGTTGTTGACACAGGGTTTCTCTGTGTAGCCCTGGCTGTCCTGGAACTCGCTTTGTAGACCAGGCTGGCCTCAAACTCAGAGATCCGCCTGCCTCTGCCTCCCAAGTGCTGGGATAAAGGTGTGCACCCCCATTGCCTTTAATCCCCTAGTGTGAGTGTTTTTTTTTTTGTTTTTTTTTTTTTGCTTTTATTTATGTTGTTTTTATTTAATTTTTAGAATTTATTTTTGGTATGTATGTGGGGAGGGGTGCATGGGGCCAGAAGAGGGTGTCATACCCCTCTGACCTGGAGTTGCAGGTTGTGAGCCACCCTGAGGGTGCTGGAAAGAAACCAAACCCTGGTCCTCTGCAAGAGCAGCCAGTGCTCTTTACCATAAGCCATCTATCCAGCACCTCCCCCGACCCTTTCAATATTTACTTATTTATTTGGTGCACAGGTGCACTCCTGGAACACCATGTAGAAATCGGTTCTCTCCATTTGGACGCCAAGGATTGAGCTCAGTTTATCGGACTTGGTGGCAAGTGCCTTTATCTGCTGAGTCACTCCCTGAACCCCCTTTGTGTGTGTGTGTGTGTGTGGGGGGCAGATTCTCATGAAACCAGGTTGGCCTCAAACTCTAAGAGGCTGAGAGTGGCCTTGAACTCCTGACCCCCTCCCATCTCCCAGGTGCTGGTACTGCGGGCATGCGCTGTCATCACGCTTGTCTTCCCTTGGTTTTCCAAGACAGGCTTTCTATGTCGCCCCAGTTGTGTAGACCTGTGGAACATCCGGCTGTGTCTGAGAGTGTTTCCCATTCCTGAAGTGACATACACAGAGACTAGCCAGGGGCGTTGTGGTGTCCTCAGGGAATGCGAACAGTGGGCTGTGTGTGGAAGAGGCAGATGGGTGAAGGGGGTAGATGAGAGACTGAGAACCAGCTGCAGCTAGCCCTGAGGTGGAGGCCCTATTGACACATCAACGGGACACGGGCTGCTCTTTCACGGTCCTTCATCTCTCCTGCAGGGAAACGGGCACAGAGGCCAGTTTTCCTCTCCAAGACTCCGAATCCCCAAAGGAGGCCATGACTTTCAGCCCAGAGGCCACTCTATCTTTGGAGGGGACTGTGAACCTAGAAGACATTCTCTATCTGGGGGACTCAGTGGACTTTGAAGAGAGTCTCTGCGTGGGAGAGTCTGAGAAGCCAGAGGAGACACTATTTATCGAAGAATCGAGGCAGCCAGAGGAGGCTCTGGACCTGGAAGAGCCGGTGAGTCCAGAGGAGACCCTGCTTGTGGAGGAACCTGTGAGGCCAGAGGAGGAACAATTTTCAGAGGAGCCTGTGGAGCCAGCTAAGAGCCCAAGCCCAGAGCAGACTGCTTGTGAGGGAGAGACGGTGGCCACGGAGGAAAGCCTTCCAGCTCCGCTGAGTCCCAGCACAGAGGAGACCCTCAGCATGGAGGACCTGGAGTTGCTGGAAGGCCGTTTCCAGCAATGTGTGCAAGCTGTATCCCAGTTGGAAGAGGAGAGGGACCAGCTTATCCATGAGCTGGTGCTGCTCCGGGAACCAGCTCTCCAGGAGGTGCAGCAAGTCCACCAGGACATCCTGGCTGCCTACAAGCTGCACGCGCAGGCAGAGCTGGAGCGGGATGGGCTCAGGGAAGAGATCCGGATGGTGAAACAGAAGCTTTTTAAGGTGACCAAGGAATGTGTGGCCTACCAATACCAGCTGGAGTGCCGTCAGCAGGAGGTGGCTCAGTTTACCGACTGCAGGGAAGCGCTGACCACCAGGGCAGCCCAGCTCTCCGGAGAACTGACCCAGCTCCGAGATGCCTATCAGAAACAGAAGGAGCAGTTACAGGAACAGCTGGAGGCACCCCCGACCCAGAGTGATGGGCACTTTCTCCAGGAGAGTCGGCGGCTGTCGACCCAGTTTGAAAATCTCATGGCGCAGAGCCGCCAGGGCCTGGAAGAGGAGTATGAGCCCCAGCTGCTGCGGCTCCTGGAGAGGAAAGAGGCAGGGGCCAAAGCTCTACAGGACACCCAAGCAGAGATCCAAAAGATGAAGGAGGCCCTGAGACCCCTGCAAGCAGAGGCCCGGCAGCTCCACCTTCAGAACAGGAACCTGGAGGACCAGATCACACTCGTGAGGCAAAAACGCGATGAAGAGGTTCAACAGTACAGGGTAGGCCCCTTGGCTGTGTGAGAGACTATGTAGTTCAGGCTGGCCTGGAGACCTTGAGGCCTTCCTGCCTCAGCCTTCTGAGGGCTGGCATTTTAGGTGTGTGCCACCATAGCCAGCAAAAGGGACATCTTTTAGGTGAAGGGAAGTCTGATGTCTTTTTTTTTTTTTTTCCTCCCTTCCAAGACAAGGTTTCTCTGTGTAGCCCTGGCTGGCCTGGAACTCACTCTGTAGACCAGGCTAGTCTCAAACTTAGAGGTCCACCTGCCTCACTGCCTCATCCTCCTGAGTGTTGGGACTAAAGGCATGTGCCACCACGCCCAGGCAGGCCTAATGTCTTTGGGGCTGGGATTACCATTCAGTGTGAATGAAGAGCCTGTTCTTGGGTCCACTAACTCATTCTTTTCCTCTGCCCTGTATTCATTTCATTTGGTTAAGGCTCTACCACTGAACCATATTCCCTCCCCACCCTCTTTTAAAAGATTTTACTATTTTTATTTTATGAGTATGGATGTTTTATCTGCATGTATGTATATGCACCATGTGCATGCAGTGCCCAGGGAAGCCAGAAGAGGGCACTGGATCCCCTGGGACTGTGGTTACAGATGGTTGTGTGCTACCTACCGTGAGGGTGCTGGGAACTGAACTCAGGCCTTCTGCAAGAACAGCAAGCGCTCTTATCCCGTGAGCCATCTCTCTAGCCTCACATCCTAGCCTGACAGTTATTTTCACTCTTGGTTTATATAGCTGTGTGTGTGTGGCAGCGGCGGTGGCGGGGGGGGGGGGGGGGGGGGGGGAGTGGATGCTGGGGATTGAACCCAGGCAAACTCTCTACCGTGGACCTTTATCCACAATCCTCTTTTTTTTAAAAAATACATTTTTAAGATTTATTTATTTTATGAACATGATGCTCTATCTGCATGTATACCTGCAGGCCAGAAGAGGGCATCAGATCCCATTACAGATGGTTGTGAGTCACCATGTGGGTGCTGGGAATTGAACTCAGGACCTCTGGAAGAGCAGCTAATGCTCTTGACCACTGAGCCATCTCTCTAGTCCCCCACAACCCTCTTTTAACTTGAGACAGGTCTTGAATTTGAGCTCTCCCTGCCTCCCATGTAGCTAGGATTGCAAGCCTATACTGCCAGGATAAATGGGCTACCACACCTGACTTGGATTCTTAGGTTTTATAGACATGGAAACTGAGGCTCAGTAACGTAGCCCAGCCCTAAGTATTTCAGTGCCCCTTCCTTTTCTTTCATGGAAGCCTTTTCTAATTCTGACGGAACAGTGAATCATGCTTGCTAGTACACGGAGAGCTTGGAGAGGCCGAGTGCAGTGAGTTCATTCCGTCCTCTCCCAGCCACATTCACCCTCAAGTACCACCTGTCCATCCTCCCGCTTCAAGCTGTCCAGGCTTTGGGATGGAATCTCTGCATTTCCCTTTTTTGTACATGCCACCGTATCCTCTGTATCTGAGTTATTTCTGATTAAGTGTGAGCCAGTTCTAACCCCTTTTTAGAAGAGTAGGATATAAATACTGAGTGAATAAACAATTACGTCTGCCGCAGCCCAGACTGGGCGTGCAGGTTGGGGCTATCTTTACTTATCGCCTTTTATTCTCGGCCATGCACTTAGGGGACACATCAGCCACATGCTGAGTTACGTGTTGCTAGGCATGCCGAGAATACTTTCATGTGGGGCCTTTCACAGCCCGGTTTTGTTTTCTTTTCAGACAGGGTCTCAAGTAGCCCAGACTAGCTTCAAAGTAAATGTGACCTGGAGCTCCTGATACTCCTGTCTCCCTCTGGTGTGTAGGCCGTTAGCTTGTCATCCTCCAGCCTCAGCCCCCAAATCCTGGTAGTATAGCTATGTACTATCAAGTTTAATTTTCTATTTTTTTGAAACATGTATTTTCTTGGATAAACTTAAAATTGTATGTCCTTCCCTTAAGAGAAATCTTGAAAATGGCTGCAGTTTGCTGAGTGTCTTACTGTAGTATTTATTATTCTTCAAAAGATTTTAACTTTATTTATTTATTTGAGACAGGGTTTATGTGTAGCCCTGGCTGTCCTGGAACTCACTCTGTAGTCCAGGCTGGCCTCGAACTCACAAAGATCCTCCTGCCTCTGCCTCCCCAGTGCTGGGATTAAAGACGTACGCCACTATGCCTGGCTAAGATTTTATTTTTAATTATGTGTATTGTTTGGGTAAGTGCACGTGAGTGTGGTGCCCTCAGAGGCTAGAGCATGGGATCCCTTGGGAGTTGGACTTACAGGAGGTTGAGAGCTGCTGAGGTGGGTACTGGGAATAGAATTCAGGTCTTCTACAAGGACCACCTCTGGCCCTGTGTATGCTGGTTTGGGACAGTGTCCCACTGTAGAGTGCATGCTGGCCCCAAACTCTAGTCTGTCTCAGCCTCAAGTGCTAAGGTTCCAAGACCTATGCCACCATGCCTAGCTCCAAATTCTTTTTCTGAAAGGGCTCCTAAACAGTATTTGCCAAATACTCTCTTACGTCATTGTGGTTACTTTTCAAGGGTGCTCTGGAATTTCTCAGGCTGGGCTTGAACTCTTAAGAGTCAGTTTGCTGATATTACCACCTCCATCATCCATCCATTCACTGTTTCTAAGTGTCTAGTATGAATCAGGCTAAGGCGCTGGCAAGAAATTGAGGACATAATCGGGGATGAGCTGCTGTTTGCTGTCTGGGAGGGACGCCAGACAAAGTGAACATTTTCATAAAATCCAAACATCCTTGATGTTAAAGAGGCTTCCTAAGTTGGGGAGGTAGCTCAGCAGTAGAGTGCTTGCTTAGTCTGGGTTTGACTTCTGGCACTGCACACACAAAAAGAGAAATGAAGCCCGACATGGTGGCGTGCACCTTTAATACCAGCATTCAGGATGCAAAGGCAGGTGGATCTCTGAATTGGAAGCCAGCCTGGTCTATATAGTGAGTTCTAATCCCACCCCCCATCCCACCAAAAAGGCTTGATTTGAGGTGGTTAAATATGAAAGTCTTAGTGAAGTATGAAGTTTGAAGTGAACATATTTCAGTGTGCTGAGCAGTGGAACAGTGCTAGGAACGAGACTCTGGATAGATGGATGACGTAGGCATGCTCACTCTTGCCTGGAGAAACAAGGGGATGCTGGGCGGTGGTGGCGCACACCTTTAATCCCAGCACTCGGGAGGCAGAGCCAGGCGGATCTCTGTGAGTTCGAGGCCAGCCTGGTCTACAGAGCGAGATCCAGGACAGGCTCCAAAGCTACACAGAGAAACCATGTCTCAGAAAAAAAAAACAAACGAAAAAACAAACAAAAAAACAATAGCTACTATGTTCTAGAAAGTTCTCCACAGAGCTCATTTACTTCTTATACCCCTGGGAGGTATAAAATGTTTGGAAACTGAGTAGAGAGGGGAGACCGAGAAGCAATTTGTCCAGCCTTCTGCAGTTCCAGAGGGATGGCATGAGGAGGTAACCAAGTGATGTAAGCCTGCCCACCAAATGGATAAGTGAAGATTCCAGGCAGAGGGGACAGCTCATCCGCTCATGGAAGTGGGTCGTAAGGAATGAATAGACGACAGACGGGTGGAGTGATAGACGTAACTAAGTTTACATCAGTAATGTCCTTTTTTGTCTGTCTGTGTGTAGGTATGCTCTCGCCACCTTGTCCCCATGAGATCTCTTACTGAACATGGAGCTGTGCTAGTAGTACCCAGCTCCCACCCCCACCCCCAGGGTTAGGATCCCCAGATGTGTGTGGTCCCATTTGAGCTTGTTGTAAATGCTCTGGAGATTTGAACTCACGTCCTCCTGCCTCTGCGCCAAGCACTCAACTGCTGAGTCATCTTCCTCACCCAAGTTTTCACTAAAGTCCAGACCCCTCCCTAACTCCAAATACTATTTCAAAAATTATTTGACAGCCAGGTGGTGGTGGTGGTGGTGGTGGTGGTGGTGGTGGTGGTGGTGGTGGTGCACACCTTTAATCCTGGTACTTGAGAGGCAGAGGCAGGTGGATCTCTGTGAGTTCAAGGCCAGCCTGGTCTACAGAGTAAGTTGCAGGACAGCCAGGGCTATAAAGAGACAGCCTGTGTCAAAAAACAAAAACAAACAAAAAACCCAACCCAAACCAAACACCCCCAAAACTTCTTGGTTGGTTTCCTTTGTGTACATAATATATTCTGATCACTTTCACCCACCCCTGTTCTTCCCTCACCTCTGATAGCCTCTCCTTTCTTCATGGTTTTGTTTTTGTAAAAGTATTTGGCACAGCATGTGGAGTGCAGGCCCTTCAGTTTGGCCTTCTGGGGCTTCGCAGAGAAGTCAGCAGAGTCTGTCTAAGGACAGTACCAGAGTAATGGCGGGGAGCTCGGAGCCAACAGCAAATCCTGGCTCTGCTCCCTCACAGGTAAGACAGGATCATACCCGATTTTAACCAAAAGGCCAAGAGGGATTTCTGGGGCTGGAGAGATGGCCGGTGGCTGAGAGACCTTGCTGATCTTGCAGAGGTCATTTCTGGTATCTGCATAAGGCAGTTTACACCTTCCTGTAACTCCAGCTCCAAGGGATCCATGCCCTTTTCTGACTAACCTAGGCACTGCATGCACATGATGCACATATACATACACTGAGGTACAGATGAGTGTGTATTATTATTATTTTTTTTTTTTTGGTTTTTCGAGACAGGGTTTCTCTGTGTAGCTTTGCGCCTCTCCTGGTACTCGCTTTGGAGACCAGGCTGGCCTCGAACTCACAGAGATCCACCTGGCTCTGCCTCCCGAGTGCTGGGATTAAAGGCGTGCGCCACCACCGCCCGGCGAGTGTGTATTATTTTTAAGAAATAGGATTGATGGTCACTTCACAGGTTGCATCGAATGAGCTAATTAATGTAAAACTCTTACAGTGGTGCCAGGATCATAGCTACACAGTACTACACAGTATTTTTTTTTTTTTTTCTTTTTTTACCCCGAGACAGGGTTTCTCTGTGCAGCTTTGGCGCCTGTCCTGGATCTCACTCTATAGACCAGGCTGGCCTCAAAGTCACAGAGATCCGCCTGCCTCTGCCTCCCAAGTGCTGGGATTAAAGGTGTGCGCCACCAAACCCGGCCACAGTATTTTTTGAGACAGGGTCTCTCTACATAGTTTCACTACCCTGGAACTATAGACCAGGCTGACCTTGAAATCAGAGATCCCCTTGTTTCTGTATACATATCATATCTATCTATCTTTATTTTTTTTTTTTTTCTTCGAGACAAGGTTTCTCTGTGTAATGGCCTTGGCTGTCAAGGAACTCACTCTGTAAACCAGGATGGCCTTGAACTCACAGAGTGCTGGGATTAACAACATGTATCACCACTACTGGCCAGCTGACTTTAGAGTTTATTAAAGAATACTAATGGGCTGGAGAGATGGCTCAGCAGTTAAGAACACTGACTGCTCTTCCAGAGGACCTGGGTTCAGTTCCCAGCACCTACACGGCAGCTCATAACTGTCTGTAACTCCAAGATCTGACACCCTCATACAGACATAGATGCAGGCAAAACACCAATGTACATTTAAAAAAAACTAACATGTTAAGCAAGCCCAGTGTGGTGGCTCACATCTTTAATTCCAGCACTTGGAGGGCAGAAGCAGGTTATCTCTGAATTCAGAGTCAGCCTGGTCTACATATTGAGACTATCTGGAAAACAACCACAATACACAATTTAAGAGAAAGTACTTGGGGAAAGACATCAGAGAGTGAGTTACTGGCTTGTTTTGCTCCTCCTGCCTTAACATCCCATGTGCTGGAGTTCCAGGGGTGAGCCACCATGCCCAGCCTTAACATTTTCCCTTTAACCCAAGTCTTCTTGTGAAGTCAAGAACTAGAGTAACAAGGAATGCAACTAGACAATGGCCAAAGGAATCACTGTGGAGGGAGACACGCCCACGGAGTGACAGTGAACAAAGACACTGTCTCACCTACATGTTTAGGCAGGCTTTATGCTATTTCCTATAGTATTTGATTTTTATTTATTTTTGAGGTAGGGTCTCCCTCTGTAGTCTTGGCTGTCCTAGGGAATTAAAGGCATATACCACCACACCCCATTTAGTCTTTGATACTTTAAATTATTTATTAATTATGAGTGTGTAAGTCTGTGTAAGTATATACACACTGGTGCAGGTGCCCAGAGGCCAGTCAATGGATCCCCAAAAGCTCGAGTTGCCAGCAGTTTTGAGTTATCTGACCTGAGTGCTGGAACTAAACTTGGATTCCCTACAAAAGTACTGTGATACTTAAATTCTATTTATTTGGTTTTTCGAGACAGGGTTTCTCTGTTTAACAGCTCTGCCTGTCTCTGTAGCCCAGCCTGGCCTTGAACTCAGAGATCTGCCTGCCTCTGCCTCTCAGTGCTGGGATTAAAGGCGTGCGCCACCACCGCCCAGCATCAAGTACTCTTAAACATTGAGCCATCTCACCAGTTGATGGTGGCACACACCTTTAATCCCAATGCTCAGGAGGCAGAAGCAGGCATACATCTAAGTTTAGGGCTAGTCTGGTCTGGTCTACAGAGCAAGTTCCAGAACAGGCAGGACTACACAGAGAAACCCTGTCTTGAAAAACCTAAACCAAACACTGAGCCATTTCTCCAGTCACACACCACCCTTACCCCCCCTTCTTTTAATAACAGGGTCTACTGGCTAGGAAGTCGCTCTGTGGATCAGGTGACTTCCACTCACCTGCCCCTGCTTCCCCATAAAGGTGGCCTGCTCCACCCAGCTGTGATGGTCTTCATTGACCAGGTGGTGGAGAGTCACTGATTAGCTCGACTGCAGAGCCTCCAGGTACCTGCCTGTCTGCGCCTCCCCAACACTGGGACTGTACACACATCACCAGTCTTTCCCCCATGATTCATGGAGGTTCGCATAGTGTGTGGCCAGCACTTTAAAAGCAATTTCCCCATTTATTCATTCACTCATTCTGTTTTTCAGGTTGTTTTTTTGTTTTTTGAGACAGGTTCTCTACATAGGTTTATCTGTCCTGGAACTCTGTATGTGGAGCAAGCTGGTATTGAACTCACAGAGCTCTACTGGGATTAAAGGTGTGTGTCACCACACCCAGCATTCCCCCCCCCCCCCCAGATGGTCTCCTGGACTCCAGGCTGTCCTCCTAACTCACTGTGATCAAGAATGAGTGCTGGCGTCATAGGCAAGCATCACCATGCTGTCTTTATGTATCAATGCAGCATCACCCCACCCCTGTGCTTTGCCTTACTAAAACTGGGGCAGTGAGAAACCTCCCTTCAGATGCCACATGTGTGGTCATATATGTGTGGTCCCCAAGGCAGGGCTGGACACTATAAAAAAGATCTTCTGATAGTGTTGGTTAAAGGTGAGCTTCAATAAGTGTCCAGTATCACAGGCGAAATGTGCCTCAGTGTAGTATCAAAGCTGACTCAGTTCAGAACTCCTTCTATTAATAGCAGTACCCAAAACAGATTCTTAGTATTTCTCAACTGCCCTTACAGTCTACCTCCGTACGGCAATACCCTGTCCCCAGTGCCCCACCCTTTTGAGACAAGGTTACATACAGCCCTTGCTGGCCTGGAACTCCTGATTCTGCCTCCACCACCAAAATGCATATGCCACAATTTATGCTGTGCTAGGGGCCAAAAGGCACTCTACCAAGTGAGCTCACTCTGATCCTTCAAGGATCCAAGCCAGACTTGCTGAACCTTCATTACCTCAAGGCTCAAAGTAGTAGAGTACTCAACTGGTATCTTCTGCACCACACATTATCATCCTATTTAAAAAAAAAAAAGTTGTGTCTTATGTAGTCCAGGCTGGCCCTAGATTCATTATGGAACTTTAGAGAGCCTCTAGCACCCACCTTCAGAGTGCACTGCCACGCCCAGTCCTTACACGACTTTTCCTGTTAGTGCTGAGGGTCATTAGGGTGTGGGCATGAGGCAAGTGTTCTACCACTGAACTCTAGCCCCTTTATTCAGGTTGGACTCTGGTTTTAGTTGTGAAATGATTTTTAAACCTTAAAGAATCTCAACTGATGAAAGTACAGATAAATCCTTAACACCTTCCAACCCATATAAAGTTAAAAATACCTTAATGTTTCTAGAAGAAAGTTATAAATTATGAAGAATGTCAACAACTGATAGTGTTAATGTCAGACACTAAACCCTTGAATACCTTTTATTTTGTTCAAGATTTATTCATTTTGTCTTGCCTGAATGTATGTATGTGCACATGTGTGCTCGGTACCCACAGAGGCGAGAAAAGGGTATCACATCACCCCCAACTGGAGCCTAGAACTATATACCAATGGTTGTGAACCATTGCGTGGGCGCTGGGAATCCAACCTGGGTCCTGTGAGTAACAATTGCTCTTAACATCTGAGCCACCTCTCTGGCTCCCTTTTCACTGTTGTAAAGATTTATGTAATAAAGCTTCAAGTCCAGACAGGGTCCCTATGTAGTAGCCCTGGCTGGCCTGGAACTTGGAGACCCACCTGCTACAGCCTCTGGAGTGCTGGGATGGAAGGTGTCTGACATCACTGCTCAGCATTTTCAAAGTTGTGTCAGTCACTTTGTCTCTATACCACTTCTCAGAACTAGTTTTTTCTGTTTTCTGAGACAGGGTTTCTCTATGTAGCCTTGGCTGGGATTAAAAGTGTGAGCTACCACTGCCAGGCCTCAGAACTTGTTTCTTAACCTATCCTATGAAGGTAGTGTCAATCTCAGTATCACTATAAATACTCAGTGATACAGGGAGGCCATATTGGTGCATCCCTTTAATCCTAGCACTAAAGAGGCAGAGGCAGAGGCAGAGGCAGGTGGATCTCTGAGTTCGAGCCCAACCCGGTCTACAGATCATATTCCAGACAGCCAAGGCTACACAGAGAAACCGTGTGTGTGTGTGTGTGTGTGTGTGTGTGTGTGTGTGTGTGTGTGTGTGTGTGTGTGTATGTACACGTACCAACCAACGAATTGGTAAAAAATCAAAAAGCGATGTTCAAGTGCTTAATTTAAGATAGCAGATGTGAGATGTTTACTGTCTGGCCATCCTGTGCAGGAGCAGCTGGAGGAGATGGAGGAGAGGCAGAGACAGTTACGAAGTGGAGTGCAAGTCCAGCAACAGAAGAACAAAGAGATGGAGCAGCTGAGGACCAGCCTTGCTGAAGAGCTTTCAACATATAAGTCAGTTTTCTCTGCTTCCCAAGTCTCATCTACAATTGACTGAGGATGGTGGGGGGGGGGGGCCCTCTGGGAATATTTTATTTAACAAAGGAAAACAAAATCACTTGGGGAAATGACTTTCAAATTGTGTCCACCCATGGACAGTTAGAAAACAGCTCTCTCTTTTTAAAGGGCTATGCTACCCAGGAGTCTGGAACAGGCTGATGCATCGACTCCTCAGGCAGGTGGAGTGGAGGCACAACCTGAAGGTGATCTTTGTGGGTAGATGACAGTGACGTTTGCTCATGATTACTGCTCTCCTAACAGTACTAACTAATGCCTTATTCTGGAGGGTCTTACTGTGACCCTTGCTTGGGATCCTCTTACCTCAATCTGCATAGAGTTACCGGCATGTGCCTCTGTACCTGGTTACTTAATACCCTTCTATTATTATTTTTAATGTAGTCTCACTATGTAGCTGAAGCTGGCTTTGTATTCATGGCAGAACTCCTAGCTTTAGCCTCTCAAGTACTACCTCTTAATTAATGAAATAACAAATAATTTAAGGATAGTACATGTCTCAAAAATACCTAAGGTCAAGCAGAATTGATTTGGAAAACTGTTGAGACAGGGTTTCTCTGTGTAGCCTTGGCTGTCCTGGAACTCACTCTGTAGACCAGGCTGGACTTGGACTCACAGAGACCCTCCTGCCTCTGTCTCCTGAGTGCTGGGATTAAAGGCGGGTGCCACCACTGCCAGGCTCAAAATTTTAATTTTTTTGAGACAGTGTTTCTCTGTGTAACAGCCCTAGCTGTCCTATCTCTTTCAAGACCAGACTGGCCTTGAACTCACAGAAATCTGTCTGCCTCTGCCTCTCAAGTGCTGGGATTAAAGGCATGAAAAAGCTTTAATTTTTAATGGAACTTAAAATTATTTAGCCATTTTGCTGGGCCTCACCAATGATGTTTCTTTGAGACAGGGTCTCACCATGTAGCTTTGGTTGGCTTTGCTACGTATGCCATGCTGGCCTTGAACTCCGAGATTCACTTTCCTCGGTCTTCCAAGTACTTGGATTAAGGGTATACACTACCATGACCGTCAAGATACATCATCTAGTGACCAGAGATGGCTCAGTAGTTTAAGAGCGCCTGCTGAGGACACAGGTTTGGCTCCCAGAACTCACATGGCACCTCACAATGGTCTATAAAGCTCCAGTTCTAGAGGAGCTGATGCCCTCTTCTGGCCTTTGTAAGCACCAGGCACAGGCATACACACAGGAAAAACACTCACTCATATAAAATTTAAAAAATTCAAAGCAAACGAAATCCAGGCTCTAGCTACATCCTTCCCCAACCCTGGCACTCAGTTTCCCTGGTACAGCACAAAAGACAACCTATTATCACACTAAGACTGACAAGAGGCCAACGAGAATTACTAATTTAAAAACCACTGACTGAGGACATTCAGAGCCCAAACTCCTTAGTCAATGTATAAATAATCACCCACCGTGTCCATTCATTTCTGTGTCAAGAGTGGGTTTGTGTGAGGACAGTGCCCACGGAGTGCAGAAATTAGAGGCAGTTACAAGCTGCCCCGTGTGGGTGCCGGGAACCAAACTCATGCCTCTGGAAGAGCTCTTAACTGCTAAACCATCTCTCCTGCCCCTATTTTTTATATAATCAAAACCACAAAGGCTGTGGATTCTGTAGTTGGGAAGTTTTAGGGCCTAGTATCTTTCAACCAAACCACGAGTCTAGCTATTCAGAAAGTTGAGGCAGGAACATCACATGTTCTAGCCTGCCTGATTAAACAGATCCTGCCTCAAAAAATAAGTTTATCAGAAGGGCTGGGAGAATATAGCTCAGTGATAGGTTGCTCACTTGGCTTCTACGGGACCGTAATTTAATCCCAAGCATTGAAAACACATCACACAACACACTCTCTCATGTATATAACTCAGTAGTGGAATGCTTGTCCAGCATGCATGACAGCAAGTTCTATAACCAGGAAGGGAAAAACAAAAAGCCTGTCAAAGTTGTATAGAATACAGATGTCTACCCATTTCCTTTTCTTTCCTGGTTAAATATGGATACAAACTGGTAAGTAATTACTTCAACTGATTCTTTCTGTAAGTTTCTAGATTTTCTTCTATGGTTATGCGGCTCATCTGGAGTTATAACCCTGCATCGAGGACAATGATCTGATAAACGTCTTTGTATGGACAGTAAAGGATAACCATCAACCCAAACAAAGATGATTAGAGCTGAGAATGCAGCTCAACTGGTAGAGTACATATGTGCCATGAACAAAGCCTTGGGTTCAAGCTCCAGCACTGCATAAACTGTAATCTAGCACCTGTGAGATGGAGACAAAAGCATTCTAAGTTCAAGTCCATCCTTGGCCATAAAGAGTTCCAGGATAGCCTGGGCTAAAGGAGACTGTTTCAGAAAGGATAGACTGAAGCTGGAGATGGCCCAGTGCTTTAGAGCACTTGTTCTTGCAGAGGACCTAGGTTTGATTCCCAGAGCCCACAGGGAGGCTCACAACCTTCCATAATTCCAGTTCTGGGGCATTTAACACCCTTTTCTGGCCTCCTTGGGCTCCTCCCATACAGACACAAAACAACAAACAAAACAGAACCTAAAACTAAAGAGGTGGTGGCACACACCTTTAATCCCAACACTTGGGAGGCAGAGCCAGGCGGATCTCTGTGAGTTCGAGGCCAGCCTGGTCTACAGAGTGAGATCCAGGACAGGCACCAAAGCTACACAGAGAAACCCTGTCTCAAAAAACAAAAAACTAAGGAATATCAGGCACTATAATACCTGTGTGAAGTTAAGCTGGATAGAGTAAAAACATTTTCACAACATGCTGGTCTTGAACTTGACATGGTCCTGCCTCAGTGCTAAAACCGTAGCTATAAACCACCATGTCTGCTTACTTTACTCCCTCACCCCCGTCACACAGGTTACTATTTATTCTGCTTTCATATTGTAGCCAGGTATGGTGGCACACAACTTTAATCTCAACACTCAGGAGGCCAACCTGGTCTAGGTAGTCAACTTCAGGCCAGGCAAGGCAACATGGTGAAATCAATCAAAACCAACCAGGTTGTAGAAGTCTTTCCTCAGTTTACCGTAAGAAAATCTTGGAAGCTCACTATTATAAAATTTTCTAATGTATTATTTCAGATTGCAGAAAATGCAAACTTAACTGTATTTCTTTCAATCTTACAGGGATTGTTTAGAAATGTATGGCCGGATCTGTAACCCAGAAACAACAAAGCATTTATATCAAAGCATCACTAGGGATGGACTTTTCCCCAAACAGGAAAGAGTGCCAGCATCTGGCAAGCAATTCACCCTGTGAAAATTACAAACATTGCTTATCTTGCCCACAAAGATTTTAGGGTTGGCTAGAAGCAGGATACCAGTCACCTTTCATCTGGATTCTTTTCTGTAGGCTGTTAGTACTGATCCTGATGCACTGTGGATGGACAAATGAGCCTGTTATCTTGCAGCAGAACACTGGGTTATGGAGTATCACCACATCTTGCAGCATTGTGAAGGTTATTTATTGCTTTGTGCTGACCCCAACCAAGAACATTTAAGGAAAAAGTCGGGGTCAAAAGGCAGCCAGTCTTTGCCCTATGAACCCACAGCTTCAATACCTCTGAGGCATGGGTACTAGATTTCAAACGACTCCTTTCACAAAGTCATTTTTCCTTTAACACCCGCACTCACATGATTTACTCCTAAAAGTGTCAGGATAGCTATTTTGCCGTTTTTCTTTTTCTTTTCTCTCTCTCTTTTTTTTTTTTTTTTGACACAGGGCCTCACTTACAGCCCTGGCTGGCCCTGAACTCAGAGAAATCTGCCTGCCTCTACACTGCTGAGATTAAAGACACGTCAGGCTTGGGTTTTTTTCAGACAAGGTCTCAAGTAATCTAGGCTGGGGTTTCTAACTTGTTATATAGGTCAGGATGACCTTGAACTTCTGATCTTGCCTCTACTTCCCAACCACAGGGACTACAGGTGTACATCACCAAGTGTGACTCAAGACACACACCCCACAACCCCCCCCAGGGTATCACCCATGTGGTGACATGGCTGTCTTGGAACACATCACATAGACAAGGAGGGCCTCGAACTCACTGAAATCCACCTGCATCTGCATCCCAAGTGCTGGGATGTATCATTACACCCAGCTTGATAGTTTTTACTATACACAAAAACAATGAGAACAGAAATCACTTCAGATTTGGACCTGACACTTCATTATTCAGACTTTCCAGAAATTAAACGGTTTTGGAGGTGAGTCATTTAGTCAGTTCAAGCGAAGTCGGTCATTTTTATCTAGTTATCACATATGGTGATAAGGACACTCAGACTCTTAATTCCTATCCTTTAAAAGTAAGTAGGAGTCCCAGTGAAAAACACTGGACAGATACAAGCTCTCTGGAACACGGGTATAATCTCTTTCAAATGTAAACTGCCTTAAGTTGTCTATCACACTGCCTTTGACATCTTGGAAACTTGTGCGGCTCTCTAGGAAGACTTAAAAAAGATGTAATTTTACCAAGACTAGTTTGTGTACTGTTTGGTAATGCCTTCGCTTTCCCAGGCAGGAGTAAAGCTCTTCTTTTTAATGGTTCTGGATCTATTATGTTCATTTTCATTTTGATAGTCAAGAGCATGAAAAACAACTGTCATCCGAACAAACTCTTCTAGAAGCCGGAGACTGGTGTTTGGTGGATAGTAAATAAAACCTACCAGCGCAGGGCATCATAGAAAAGCAATTTATTCCTTTATAAGCACTTACACAGTTAGTCATGGAGAGTAACAGGCCCGATGCTGAGACAGGTCAACCAAAATGGAGAGGGCATCAAACTATAGTGGTCAAGGACTAACCCCTAGAAAAGCAACTCTTACCAAGGATTAATTTAATTTTAAAAACAAAGACAAACTAGCAATTCACTCTTTCTCAACTTGACAGTTCACCAGTGGTATGACTGTCAGTTAAAAACATACACCTTACAACTTGGTGGTCCCAAGTTTAAAAAAAAAAACAAAAACAAAAAACCACACACAACAAAAACCATTTCACAGAAAGGAAAGGAATAATATGGAAACAGCTCAAGCAATACACTAATGAGCAAAAATACAAGGGGAAGGGGGACCGTGTTGTCGTAACTAAAGAAACCAAGACTCTGGTTTCCATAGGAAATGTGCATCCTGGAAAGCCAGGTGTGAGGACTTTCAACTCTCTGACTTGACTCTCCCCTAATTCCTGAATAAAAACGACATCTTGCAATAGTTATACTCATGGCTCAGACACCTACTTCACTTGGCTCTATTCCTTATCCACTCTGGCCTCTTACTTGAGAATCTGAAAAACTTGGGGATATAGCTTAAGAAGAAAAATAATCACACATAATATGCCCCATTTCTGAAGATGCTTTAGACCTGGTTTGTTACTAGAAAATTCCTGAAGAAAAATTTAAATATAAGTCTGTGGCTTTGTTGAATTAAGTCCCCCAGTTAAGATTAGAAAACCCCCATGGTTTGGGCTAATAGAATTGTTGGTGGCACCTATTGTAGCCGGAGAGCTGAACAAAGTCTGTGTCTCAAACCAGTGTTCAATCCTTCTAGGGTTCAGAGGACAACAAGGGGAGTCTAAACCACAAGTGCAGACATGTCTAGGATCCTTGTCCTTCTGGATCCACGCTTCCTTCAGGGTCTTCATCATTATAAATGTTCTCTGCCTGCCAAAAGGAGAGAAAAGGGTATTCAGTATGAAGACAGTTATTTCTTGAAGTCTAAGTTTCCACAATATATTATGCCAAGGTTTCTGATAACATTTCAAACAGTTTTTTAAATATTCAATGCTATTGCTAAAAACAGCAACACACAGTGAACCTACAATATGAATCATAACTGGGTACAGATGTGTTCCAGTTAAATCAAGGAGCAGGCCACAGCTCCCGATATAGGGCATTTTCACAAAGTATGGATGATCATTATTCCTGAACTGACCAGATATATTATTGGTAATAGCTAAACTATAAACCAGAGAGGTTTCTATGAGATACATACACAGAAAGTGGTGCTTAGAGCACAGAATTTCTTTTAGAGATGATGTTTTAAATTTCTTTGTGATGTATAACTCGAGTATGAAAAAATTCACTGAATAGTAAATTTAAATAAAACCATCCAAACCTTGTCCAAATTTCAATTTACAAATATTTTAAAAAACCACTTTTATATAACATAAAACCCAACCCCCACTAGTTGATGAAATGTATAGTAAGTCTAACACCAAATGTGTGGTAATTTTTCCTCTGGATACTAACTGGGTAACTAAGACCCCAGTAGTCACTTCAACACCAGACTTAACAGGCATCACCTCAGAGGATTGTTGTAAGCCTAAATCTGCAGGCTTATCCTGCTACTTCTATCCAACATTGCTATAAAATTTGAGGGAGAAAATTTGAGAACTCCTTTGCCTGGTTTGAAAACTTGCTACGATTCCACAGAGTAAGAGACTTTGACGTCTATGTATTGTGCATATGTAATCACTTGCCTCAGTTTCCCCAAGAACTAGGATTATAGGGTTACTACACCCCCCTGCTTATTACTGGGTTTTATTCACACATTCTCTCTCTCTCTCTCTCTCTCTCTCACACACACACACACACACACACTCACTCACTCACTCACTCACTCACTCACTCACTCACTCACTCACTCTCAGGGACCAAATGGAAGAGAGAAATACAGGAAGGAGCAGAGTACTCATCTTCCTCCTCTCCTGGCAATCAATGACCACCAGAATCTGGATACTCAAACTACCAATTTTTTGGTTGTGCTAAGATCACAGGACAAGCTACAAGCTTAATCTCCCTTCCCCAGTGGTTAACTTTCAGCACTTCTGTTGACTAGCCCAGCTATAAGGCTATCTAAGGGCCTTACAAAAACCTTAGTAACAGACTCAGGTATGGCCAAAAGGGATCATTATCATGAACAAGACAATGTGAGCTAGAAATCCCAATGATATCTTAGCAGTTATATGCCAAAAAACCAGGTCAAGTCTGAGCAAATACTACCTTTTTTTTTTTTGTTTGTTTGTTTGTTTGTTTTCGAAACAAGTGTTTGCCGTGTAGTTTTGGTGCCTGTCCTGGAACTCACTCTGTAGACCAGGCTGGCCTCAAACTCACAGAAATCCACCTGCCTCTGCCTCCCAAATGCTGGGATTAAAGGCGTGCAGCTCATCCCTCTACAACTTTTTTTGGGCCATTTCCCCGCTTGAAACAAGGGTTTCTCTTTGTAGCTCTGGCTGTCTTAGAACTCACTCTGTAGACGGGCCAGGCTGGCCTTGAACTCAGAGATCCGCCTGCTTTCTGCCTAGGGCAGCCAGGGCTGTTACAGAGAAACCCTGTTTCAAAACAAATAAAAATCCAATCTTTTAAAAACTAAGCTGTTGACATCTGCTCAGTCTGCTTAGAGATTTATTCAATGATGAGGTTTGGCTTTGTGTCTTTGAGATCTTGTTTTGTTATTTTATCTATATCAAGAGCTACACCATCAGAAGTATAGATTTTCCACTAAAGACTGCTTAGTACTATGAAAAAAAAGAAAACACTTAGAACTGTTAAGTTAAAAAAAAAAACTTTTCTTGAGATAGGGTTTCTCTGTGTAACAGAGAGAGTTCCAGGACAGCCAGGACTACAGAAAAACTGTTCAAAAACAAAAAGAAAAGGCAGTTCAAAATAACACATGTAAATATGAGCCAGACAGAGCTACATGAGACCTTGACTCAAAATAAACAGCAACCCCCACGCCAAGGAAAACTACATATATACATTCAAGTCATATCTGAGGAAAACAGGGTAGAGATGGCAGCTGCAACCCGAAGTGTGTGTGTCTGTGTGCAAAATGATGGTCTCATGTATCTAACATCCCCTAAATAAATGGCTAAACACTCACCATCTGCCACACTTGCATGATATTGTCTTCTGATACAGAACAAATCACCCAAGGTTCATTGGGATTCCAGGAAAAATCAGATATCTTGGCAGTGTGACCACCATGAATAAACTGCAAGAGGGACCAAAACAAAGACAGTAAACACGGACAACATTAGATCACAGCCCACTTTTTAAAGCACAGAAGACCCCAAAGTGCCTGAAGGTTTGTAACATACCAACAACTCTGGTGGGCCATCTTCTGCATCTTCTGGGGACTGTTCTTCTCCGATTTTACTAACAAAAAAAGAATTTTAAGTCAAAAAACATTTCCCTGTGTAGTGGTTTGAATGTAACTGGCCCCCATAAGCTCATAGGCACTCGTGTGTTAGAGGAAATGTGTCACTGTGGAGGTGGGCTTTGAGGTCTTATATATGCTCAAGCCCATGCCCAGTGTCTCAATTCACTTCCTATTGCATGTACAAGATGTAGAACTCTCAGCTACCCCTCCAGCACCATGCAAAGAGCCATGTCCCACCATGATGATAATGGACTGAACTTCTGGACTGTAAGCCACCCAATTAAATGTTTTCTTTTATAAGAGTTGCCATGGTCATGGTGTCTCTTCACAGCAATAGAAACCCTAATTAAGACAGCCTGAGCACCCATCTTTGAAAAATGTAAAGACAGTAACTGCCTGGCTTGGTGGCACTCTGGAGCAAAGAGAGGTGAATTTCTGAGTCTGAGGTCAGACTATTATTCTACAGAGTAAGTTCTAGGACCACCTGGGCTATAAAGGAAACTTTGTCTCCCCAAAACAAAAACAAACAAACAAAAAAACCAAACATACTTCATGGATAAGGTAATTAACACAAAACTCACCTTAAATCCCAGACATTCAGCCTACGATCAGTACCACTAGAAGCCAAAATAGTCTCATTGTGAGGTGACCACTGAACCTATATCCAAGAGTGAAGAAAATGCAATGAATTAGAAAATACATCTTACAAAACTCTGTAAATAAAAAGCAATGAAGCCGGGTGTTGGTGGTGTACACCTTTAATCCCAGCACTCAGGAAGCAGAACTATAGGCACAAGTCAGCACAAAACCTTGTTTTCCTCCCCTGCCTCCAAATTATTCGTGCGTAATTCTGGCTTTTAGTCAAATGAAGTTCAATTCTGACACAGAAACTAAAATATTGACAGAATCTATGATTATTTTCTCAACTATTTATGTGCCACACAACACACAAAAGGCACAGAGTTCAAGCCTCAGCTACTTGTACTCCCCAAAGATTCCTTACAATTATTAGATAAAAGATAACTACATACCTAAAAGGGAAGGAAAGGGAAAAGAAGGCAGGGAGCATTGGTTTCTCTTACTTGGAATATTTCATCCTTATGTGATTCAAAGGAATGCAACTTGAGTTTCAGATTTCTCAGATCCCACAAGGCAACAGTCTATGTACAAAAAGATAAAGAAATCAAGATAAACGTATCAAGTAAGAAAAGCCAGCCTGACCGTGGTGGCACACGCCTCATGCTTTTAATCGCAGCACTCAGGAGGCAGAGCCAGGCGGATCTCTGTGAATTCTAGGCCAGCCTGGTCTACAGAGCAAGATCCCGGATAGGCACCAAAACTATACAGAGAAATCCTGTCTCGAAAAACAAAACAAAACAACCCCCCCCTCAAAAAAAAAGAAAAGAAAAGCCTAAGGCCACAGGGTTCAGTGGATAACGGTGCTTGTTGTCAAGCCTGCTACCATGTGCTCGATCCCAGAATCCACATAGTGGAAGGAATAAATAGACTCTGGCCAGTTGTCTTCTAACCCCCATGCAAATGTCATGGTGTATGTGCCCCCATCCCTACCAAATAAATAATTGAGAATGTGTGTGTCATAAACACAGAGGAGCCAAGACAACCGTGCAGAAATCAGAGGGCAACTTGTAGGAGTAGAGTTGGTAATCTCCTTTAGTTATTTGGTGGCACACGCCTTTAATCCCAGCACTCAGGAGGCAGAGGCAGGTGGATCTCTGTGAGTTCGAGGCCAGCCTGGTCTCCAAAGCGAGTACCAAGAAAGGCGCAAAGCTACACAGAGAAACCCTGTCTTGAAAAAACCA